ATCTAGACGCCCAAGAAACGCCGTCGATCTACGTAGTGCACGGCTGAGTGATGAGCGCCGGCCCGGTTCATGGCTGCTATAATTAGCCCCAACTGAACTCGTTGGACTCGCCAGGTGTGTACATACGCTTGTGATGTAACTGTCATGTTGTTGTCCTCACTTCTGCTTAACATGGACAACTATTGTTTATCAGCCTTCCCTGTTTAAGCTTCAATTCACACGACAAAGTGCGATGGCTTGAAGTACGCTGCTTGTTCTGTTCCTGTTGTCCTCAAGGCTGGCTTCAACCGTCACACACTCCAGCGATTTCATCTCCGGCAGCTGAGAACATGTCTTCAGATTCAACTGGCTTTGCTTCCGAGCTGCTGGGTGGTTTACGAGGTCATATAAGTATTCCAGGCGTCCTTTCTGCATTCCTTGTCGTATTCCTTATATCCAAAGCGTTGAAATATCCTCAAGGTCTAAAGGTCTGTAATTATCATCCTACAATACCGGGTGCTCCTGATCAACATACGATCGCCTCTCTCAAGGCGGTCAGCCATATTCCAGGCTTCCGTGTCCTATTTCACCCTTTCAGTCTACCGGGACTCTTGCTCCCAACAACATGGTGGAACCCGGGCCTCTATTTTGTGTGGAACTGGCGGCATACTTGTGAGTATACAGCCTTCGACTTCTGTGGTGCTCATAATACAACATTATGGACAGTATATAAGCGTTATGGAAATGACACCATCTCTCTCGTTCCACTCTTTGCTGGACCGCCGGCCTTCTATACCTCCAATATCGATGTCACCAGACAGGTAGCGTCTAGCAGTGGAGGGCGAAGTTTTGCGAAGCCAGATTCGATTAATCGTACACTTCTGTGTGTGCTTCCATCTTTACTGATTCCAATTTTCTTGATTATTCAAATCCTGAATTATGAGCCAGCATCTGGGGAATGAATCTTCTCACAGCCAACGGAGATGTATGGCGGAAACATCGTCGAATTATGGGTCCCGCTTTTAACAGCAAATTGTGCGTACACTTCATATGTTACCGCTTTCGAGAATAACTTCGCTTACGCCATTGTGTAGGTTCGAAATGGTATGGCGAGAAACCCTGTCAACGTATCGCGAAATGGTATTGGAGGAGGGTTGGACAGATAAGAAAGAAATCAGCCTGCCTGCAGTACAAGGGTTGACTTTTAAGGTGGGTTGGCTGTTCAAAATTTGAACTGCATTCACGTCCATATTTACTCTGAAACGGCCTTCGATTTAGCTGGCACTTTTGATCATAGGAAGATGTGGATTCGGCTTTCCATTTACCTGGTCGGAAACACCAAGGGCAGTCGATGCGCGGATGTCCGTGCAAGAGGCACTACGCATCGTTGTAGACTCCTCTACGATCTCGCATCTGCTCCCCAAATGGGCTTGGCAGAATTTACCATTTAAAAGGTAGGCAGCGCCCGCTTAGCTCTATATATACGTTTAAGTTGATATCTTGTTCTGGTTCCTTTTATAGATTGAAGGAGTTCTCCGATGCCCATAACGAGCTCATGGGGTTTATGCAGACACAAGTAGCAGAGCGAAAGGCTGAGTTGAGTGGACGCGGATTGGATGGGCCAAGCAAAATAGGCGACGATGCATTTTCGCTGCTAGTCAAAGCCAATGAGGACGAAGGAGGGAAGTTTAAGTTGGACGATGAAGAGGTGGTGAGTTCGTTTCATAGACCGTTCGGATTGCTATCGTCAAGTCATTAAATGGATTCTGATTAGATTGGTAACGTCTTTATCATGCTCTTTGCAGGGCATGGTGAGTATTCACGTACCTTTGCAAGTGAGCGCGTGATATAACAGCTTCGAACGCAATTCAGAAACTACTGCGCATACCCTTGCCGCGACCCTAGGCTTTCTTGCCCTCCACGACGATATACAAGAAGACATTCATCAGCATATCATCTCAGTCGTTGGGAATAATCGTGACCCAGTTAGCCATAATCTCATCGTTCTACTTGTGTATCCTAATACTAAATACTAATATCCATTTCCTGGACCTATGAGGATTATGGAAAACTTGACAAAGTGCTTGCGGCCTTTTACGAAGCCTTGAGGTTCTTTCGTGCGTATACTTGTACCCTTGTCAACATATCTCCGAGTGCTCATATCAATCAAGCTTCCGGATATATGATGGTTCGAGAAGCTTTTGAAGACACGGTACTCGAGATTCCCAACCCTGACGGAGAAGAGGGGAGTAAGATCGTGCCCGTACCCAAAGGAACCCAGGTCCTGGTAGATATGATTGGCGTTCGTGAGTGTACATTTCCCTTCTGGATATTCGATACATCTACAATTTCAACGCTCACCACTGATGTGCAAAAGAATACAACCCAAGGTATTTCGACAATCCCGGAGAATATCGACCGTCGAGGTGGTATGGTGTCTCCAATGAATCCGAAGCATTTACTGCTTTCAGTATCGGTCAGTGCACACCCTCAAATCTTTCTCCGCCATTGAATATATCGGCCGTGCTAACGGGGACGATCATTTCAAATTCATACTAGGTCCCCGCACGTGTATTGGTCGCAAATTTGCTACGACTGAGGCGGTTTGCTTCCTGACAATGCTGCTTAGGGAGTACAAAGTTCAGCCTATCCTGCAAGGCAAGGAGGGGAAGGAAGAGTGGAAGAATAGGGTGATAGATGCGAAGGTTATGCTCACGCTTGGTATCAAGGACGTTCCTGTCAAGTTTGTTCGTAGGGGGAAAGATTGAATGGTGAATATTTGAATCTGAATCTCACTGGTGTAAAATCTTATATGTCATTGTACTTGTATGAGTTAAATTTCCTTGTATTAGTTAGATTGCTTGTAGTCAGTATTTGGTCTATCTCAGAAACTGAGAGTTTGAAAGAAATGGTTTTGAATCTTGAACAATACCTCCGAAAGCGATAACAAGTACATTCCTGCAGAGTGCGCATTTGTTCTCAAAAAGAATGATTGGCATGAGGATGTTTGATTCCTAGGATCCTGATTTTATATGCCGCGGAGGATCCATGTAAATTGAATTTATTCATACCATCATGAAGCCTACGTATTATGTTTCGAATAGTAAGTAAACCAAAAAAATATGACTCGAGATTCGGTGTATGGTCTATGTTATACGACAGAAGTGGAAATCGGCGAGTTGGGTATATGGCATTAAAATATCTCGCTATGATCTTGCTATGATCTATCTGGCAAGCCAACTTCAACATATCTCCAATCGCGTTGTTGCGCCGTATACTCCTAAAGGATGTCAGATCTATTCCCGCAGCCAGCGAAGAACATATTCACCTCAGGTAGTGGCCCTCTCATGACATGGGGCATCTCATAGTTCCCCGCCTCGGCACTCGTTGGATCCCCTGATGGCAGAGGCTCGAACTTGTTCTTATCATACCGCCCCTTCGCAATTTTTATCGTGACCCAAATTCCCCACAGGCTTATCAGTAGTGTGGGCACACCAAACCCAATCCCCATTCCGAGGCCGATCTTGTTATCGGATGTTAGACCTTTAGAGGATGAGGTTGCAGATGGCTGGACCGTGGCACCACTACCTCTATCTCCCGCCGAAGTCGCTGTAGTCCCAGTTGCCGCAGACGTTGCTGTAGAAGTTGGTAATGTGATGGTCAGTGAGGCTGTTAAGCTTCCGGTGGGGAGGGTGATTGAGGATAGGGTTTCCCTCGGAGCAGGTATGGCTGCAAAAATTGAGTTATCGTATGCAACATCGAGCGGCCACATAACGATCTTCGAAAGAGAATATTTGGCACTTCAGCTTTACTATGCGATAACGATCATGCTTACTGGAGTGTTATTCGTCGCCGACCCTCCCATAACATTCCAAGTATACCGGAACGATGAGTCTGGAGAGATACTAACGCCGGCATCAATGGGCGCCTATTCAGCAATTGAGGGTAACAACGACAATAAACTTACAGAATGTAGGTACTAGTACCAGAAGTTTGAACCTCGTTGACATACCAGTTGATGGTATTGGTGGTTTGTATGATATTTTGGGGAACAGCGCCTATTGGATCCCCTCCTGGCCATGTTAGGTACGTCGAATATCGTAGATTTTGTATCATGTAGCTGTCCGGCCCCGCGCTCTGAGTGATGTACCACTATGAACATAAGGGCGTAAGTACTTCATTGTCTTGTAGATGGGGAGGAGGATGCCTGACAAGGCCGTGAGAGAGGAGACGATACTGACCTTTTGTTCTGTGTTCCCTGAATATTCCCAAGCATATAGAGGACTACCAGCGCCAGCGTCGTTGGGTTGGAGGCACGTTTTCTGTGTATAGGCACAGAGAAAGTAGAAGCCATTCAGAATGGCTGACATTTGCAGTTGAGACAGAAAGAAAGATGATGAGAAAACGGACAGCGGCCGCGTACTCACGTTGCCTCGAAGAAGTTTTATATAATTACGGCTGCACAGCTACAGCATATTTGAGGCGATGCAGGTGAAAGACGGTAGACCAGCACCCTGAATCTTCGTAACTGTCCCAATCAGTCGGGCCCGTTCAACTAAAATGGGACAGCTGAAAGAGCTGGGAGGAGACTTATGTTCGTAAGTACCAATGAGCGCTGGGAACTCAAGCTCTCAAATATGCTGTAGCTGTGCAGCCGAAAGACCAGCTCCCTGAATCTTCATAAATGTCCCAATCAGTCGGGCCCGTTCAACTAAAATGGGACAGCTGAAAGAGCTGGTAGACTTAGGTTCGTACCAATGAGCGCTGGGAACTCAAGCTCAAGGCTTGCTGGGAATTATTCAATTCAGAATATTCCGAGCTTCAAAAGTGTTCATCATCGCCCGAGGCGGCCCGACGCCTTCTGAAATCTGAAGTTTCTGAGCTTCGAAGCGTGAAATCACTGCAGAATTCAAACGCACAAAAAAAAGATATATTCTGAAATCTGAAATTTTTGAACTTCGAAGCGTGAAATCACTGCAGAATTCAAACGCATAAGAAAAAGATATGTTGGCTGTTGTGAATTCCCTCTAGCCGACTTGAACGACTGACCTCGTCATACACAATTGTGTACTAGTGACGCGCTCTACCACTGAGCTAAGAGGGACGTGTTAACAATTAGCACGTGTGACATTCACAAGCGTCATAGTACTGGGTACTATGAATCTATCCCCAACCCCGAACAGCCCCGAACACCTGGCTGTTGATTCAATGCCCAACGCATCCAGCAATGCACAATGGATTTTGAATAGATTTCGAGTGTTCTGAACTCACTTTCTTCCCTCAAGGTAATTCTGAGAAAATTTTCCGCGAAATTCTGCAGGTTGTCAACATCAATCACGCGGGGACGCGACCAACCGCGGCAAGCGCCTCGTGTAATAACACCACGATGACAACTAACCAAGGCGGGCAACGTCGCGGTAAAAGCCATTCGTCGCTCCTTTCCTCTCTTGAACATACTAGCTCCTACATTCCCTCTACAATCCTTAATAGCGACCTTCGCGTACTGGCCTCGCTTACCAGCTGCTCACTAGTAATGGAACTCGGCTGGAGCTTCGTGCGCATGTTTAGCAGGGGATCTCGGGCAATGTAGGGAATAGGTATGTCCTGGTAATCAGTATGTTCTCATCGAGCAATGTGGACCACTCATTCGATGATACGGATGGCATAAATCACATCGATACCACCAACAAGTTAAGCTTCACCTCCACTCGTTGAACAGGAAATACATTTCATTGCATCGTGCTATATGACACTGGCGGCTGTCACTGCGTCTCATCTACGTTATGTTGAAACACTGGCTCGCCAACCACAGAGAAATGTCGATATCTGCTTCCTCTGCCAGTATCGCAATCGCACTGGTTATGGCCACTGCCCATTCGCTGTTTCCAAGGAGGACGATAAATGCATTCCGACATCACTCTGCTATGTATGCTGGATACACCGCAACTTGGATATTCTTCTCATCTCTGGTAGACTCCCCTGGCATGATAGACTTTCGAGCAATATGTGCTCGTTCAAATTTGGTTACCCAACTGCATACGCAGTTTGACTAACCTCCAGTCATCGGCGCTCAATCTCGGGCCACACACGACGTCTCCCTTCGCAGCCATTGGAGTGTCTATTGACAACGCCCCCCTTTTTTACGGCGAATGCTTCGATGGGGCTCAATCCAATCCCTATCTCTCCAACGCCTTCCGAGTCCGCCGTTCGTGGAGCTTAACGTTGAAGGGTCGGCGAACAATCACATCAACTTGGAGAGTATTACTCTGAACTCTGTGGCCGACTACTTTCAAGGGTACTCAACGTCTCGGGTGACACGTATCTAGCATGCTATACTCCATCCATACGAGCCTTCCAAGCTCGTATTTCAGTTTATTGGAGACTCTTTTTCTTCTGTAAGATCTTGATCTACACTGCCCTTCGTTCGTCTTACATGACAGTTCAACCAGGGATATCTCCTTCCTATGGGCGTCGACCAGGCGTGGACACTCCTCGTCGGACAGCGGTATGGAGCAGAGCAACGTATCAACGCAGCCCCAGGAGCAGCTTTGACTGTAAGTACTAGTCACCGCGCGCACCGAATGTAACCTCTTATGCGACTGATTTTTTTCCCAGGATATTCCTTCATATGGAAACGTGCACGGTATCTCCTATCAATACTTCAAAGTGCTCTATTCTCGTATATCAATATTAACGAACAAGACAGAGTGCTAATGATGCTAATCCTTCGACAGGTCGAAGATACTAACTACTATCATTCGACTGATCACAACTTCACTACACCCTGGGACTTCGCGCGCGATCAACCCGCTGCAACACATGTAGTCATCCACATTGGGTTTGTGAACATTCCATCTTCGTCAGTGCTTTCATGACGAGTGTTTTAGGGCAAACGATTCCGCGCAGAATGTCCCGGCTGCGCAATTTGTACAAGTAGGAGTCCGGAAGGTCAACTGTTGTACGGTCGGGATTAATTTGGGTAAATTCACAGGTCTATTCCAATTTCTTGGCTCGTATTCGGAACTCATATCCTTATCAACCGATTTTGATGTTTACACCAGTCCGTTTTCTTTCTCTTCCACCCGGGTTATCAGAATTGACTCGTCTAGACAGTGGGGTTGGCCAAACGTCGATGGCAACGTCTACTACTACTACCAAGGCCAATACCAGGAAGTTCTCAGCACAAGGTTCATATGAGAGCATTCCGCAGCGTAACGGACGTGAATAGGAATGTACAAGGGGACAATAACATCTTCCTCGATGATGCCACGGGATGGGTTTCCTATGAAGATGTCTTCCCCGACAGTTTGCATCCTACGGTGGATGGACAAATCAAAATCGCGAACGAATTCACTGCTTGGTTGGAAAAATGGGGCCTTCACCGAAGTAGCGTACGAAAGGGCACTTTCATGTCATAGATGAGTCGATATTTGTTATTGCATATGTGTGGACCATAATTTTCTACCTTTAGTAGTTAACGAGACAGAAGACGATGTGAAAATAAGACATAATAAATCCGAAGTGATTACGAATAAATTGGGTGTGTCTAAAAACGATATTCGTGTGTGGAGAAATGGGCATTACGCTTTATCTATGCAGATAAATACGGGGTTCTAACGGCAATGCTAAAACTGCTCTTCAATGACGAAACAAAATTAGAGATCTCGCCATTCGAAAGAGCGAACGGTGTTAAAGTGGTGGTGTGTGATAGTTTGGCTGTCTTTAGACAACGCTTATAATGCATTTTCCTGCCATTGACGAAACCGTTGAATATGTTCTGACGCCAGTCCGAGGGTGAGGTAGTTTCGACTAGCAGGATAGTGAGGTTTGGAACTTGGGGCTGCGGTTTGTCGCTATCGTAGAAGCGAAAGGGATGGATAAGACACTTCAACAAGGTTGACAGACCACCGTTATCGTACACCTTCAGGCACGTCAATGACCGCAGAGCATCAAAACAAAGGCCAATGTCGTAGTCGGATATGAAGACGGAGTGGAGCTCGAGCATCTGGATGCTACAATTCGAAGCTTTGACAAGGCGAACGATGTCATCTCCGGTGGCAATATAGATATAGCGGTTTCCAATGCCTTTTATCTTGGGGGCATAAGAAGCCAGCCTGAAAGTCACCAGAGCTGGAAGGTTGAAGTAAGACAGCAGCGCCGTCGTCCTGTCCCCACCAATCAACACAAGGTGTCCCAACTGAGGGAACAGCATCCTTGCCGTCGAGGAATCTCTTTGATGCGGACAGTTCAGGTGACAGCTCCAGTGCTGCGAATGGCATGCCAAAATCAAGGTTTTGAGGGATGTACACGGCGCGAGAGCCCGAACGAGATCAGATGAATGAGCAAACACGTCGTCGACATGGAGGTACTCCAGCTCCTTCGGAAAAGTAAGATTCGAAATTGCCAGATATCCCTTGACATTTATCGTCAATCGTCGAAGAGACCTCAAGGGCTCGAGTGACACTGCCTCAGCAAGATGGTTTGGGGTTCGAAATGGGCCGAGATCTGAAGCGTCTATGACAAGTTCATGGAGCCCCTCCCAGAACTGGTTCAGATGGTTTCTCAAAAATGATGGGACGCATTGGGGTGAGATATACAGTCTGGTCAATGACTTTCGGTATAACGCCAGTCGTACATCAATCATGGCCTTCGACTTTGGGTGGCGTCCGGATCTACTGAAACCCGCATTAAGAACGCAGGCAACGTGGGTATTCTGGAATGCGGCCTTCACCATGCGTGCTACAAAATGTTGATTGAACGGTTCCTCCAAGAAAACCGGAACGTCCTTGAGTAAATCTCTGGGCATGGTCAACACTGCGTGCCGCCATATGCGCGAAACTTGAGCACAAGAAAGCACGTCGTTTGTAGAGGACATGAAGCTGAATATCTTCTTCCAGATCTCAGGTGGTACGCGAGTCAGAGCGGACCTCAGAGAAACATATTCTGCCCTTCGTCGGCGGAGGAATACGAGCATTTGGGAGTCAGGTATGTGGTACCCTTGTCGAATAGGTTCGCTCATTTCTAGCTCGATGTCTAGAAAACGGAGGACGTGATCGATTATTTCAATCCTTGACGTGATATCTCGTCCAGCGATAGGTCCCTTTGGGTGTCGGAGAAGGTATGTAGGGATCATTTTGGATAGGGATATGCAATTGTCCAGGTTACGAAAATGGGGGAAACAAGCAAGGAGTTGAAGGACGGGATGCGATAGCAAGAGCGCGCTTACAACAGCCTCGCGACACTCTTATTATATACCTCACGGTGCTGAGAAAACGACTCAAAGGGAATTGTGGCCCTCAGCTGTGCCACTTTTGTTATACAAAGAAATGAGAAGTCTAACTTCATATGGTATACCGTTTCGAGGCCATTTTGCTTTGGTGCCACTTGGTGCTTGAAATAAAGCAATAAAGTCGTTGTCGCCCCTTCGATCTTAATCTCCTGCCTAATCAACAAATTCTGCATCATTGGCCCACTCAAGGCGCATGAAATCACATCTCGGAACTGACGCAGTATAAATAGACAGACTGCCACTCACTTGCCCTTTTAGTTTACAAAGAGCTTTACGCTTTCTAAATATAGAATCTGTTACTTTATTCAGAAATGATTTGCTTTCTACAACGGTACTCCAGCACATAGGATGCATCAGAGTTAGCTGTATTAATCGTATACAAAACTATACAAACGTCTTTCATTTCCATCATCCGTCATGAGCCCCATTCCAAAATGATTCTTCAGTTCTGAGGGGGTTCGCGACCCCATTCGGCGACGCGACTAACCTGTGGACAGCCCTGGCTTGGCGGGGAGGAGAATTTCGTTTCCACAAACACCTTCTCGACACCTGCTTGGCGCTTGTCGAATGCATTGTAAAGTTCCGGCATGTCTTCAAGCGGGACACGATGAGTAATGATACTATTACACGATATAAAGTAGATCAGTCTTTAATTATCAGGTGCAAATTTAATTCTTGACATACAATGTGGGATCGAACTTCCCAGTCATGATATAATCATTGAGAATCTCATTCCAGTATAGGTGGACGGGCGCTTGACCATTGCCAATCAGTCTGAATGACGATAAGGTTAACCGTGAATTTAGTGTTTGAGGGACAATCACATACCTAATTCCCTTCTCCATGAGCGCGCCGACATTGATACCATTGGCGAAGCCAGTATATACAGCGATGATACCCGCGCGACCCATTTTCCTGACTGACACCAACATCTCGTTCAAAGTCTCAGGGCTGTCCGTCTCGAGCATCATCATTTTCTGCACTTTGTGCGACACCGTCTTCGGTTCATGGAAGGTTCCTAAAGGGATAAACATAAATTCCAAGTCTGTGTTGATATAGAGATAATACTCGCCACAGTCAAGCGCTACGTCGAGGCCCCTAGGTACCAACTCATACAGTCGCTTTGGAATGTCGGAATGTTTCGAAAAATCAACGGTCTCAATCCCCAGTTTCTCTCGAGCAAAGCGCAGACGCTCTGGAACTCGATCTATACCGATGACGCGACTAGCACCTTTGATTTGACACCATCGAGCAGCGTACATCCCAATTGGCCCAAGTCCCTGTTGATAGGATTTAAATTATTGCGAATTTGGTATGAGGATTGAACGTACCCATATGCCAACAACGTCGCCTTCCTTCACACCGGTGTCGGTTACTGTATGGTAACTGGTGGGAAGGATATCCGAGAGATAGAGCGCTTTCTCGTCTGGGATGCCGTCGGGGATGGGAAGAAGATTGACATCGCCTTTGGGCACGCGAGCATATTCTGCCTGTCCACCAGGCCAGCCCCCTGTAAAGTGCGAATAACCGAAAAACCCAGCATCAGCTTGGCCGTACATAGCACGCTGTAAACTAACAGAGGGGTTTGAATTAGAGAAAGCACCGTACCCCATGACCAAGAACCAGTCAAACGTACGAAGAATTGTTGGTTTTATCACAGAATGAAGAAAGCTTTTGCTTGCAATAGTAACAGTCGCCGCAGGCGACCTGGAATGATGCTACGACACGCTGGCCGACTTTGATGTTGGTTACTCCGGGCCCAACCTTGTCAACGATACCCATAAACTGATCATAGTACAATAAGTGGCGGTCGAAGTTGATATATGTGATCAACGTACCTCATGTCCGAGAATATCCCCCTTCTGCATTGTCATGATTTCTGAATGGTACCTAAGGCGGCGATTAGTTAGTGAGAATGTTAGTATACAGTAGTTGGGAATACGCACAAATGGAGGTCTGAACCACAGATGGTTGTTCCAGTGACTTTCAGGATGACATCGTCAGGCTCAGTGATATCAGGAATGGGTACGTCGGTAATTCGAACATCCTTATTTCCGAACCAAGTTAAGGCTTTCATCGTCGCGCCATCAGGTCTATGCTTATATTGTGGGTGCACCTCGGTCTCGACGGTGCCGAGATGCTGCAGGTTCCGCGAGTAAGCTTTCCTCACCAATCATCGGGTTGAGATTCGACGTACACTTTGAGCGGCGTTGGCTAAAGCTTGCATTATGTTGTGGATAGATTTGAAAAAAAAATGTTATGGGGTTTCAGAAAGGCATCGCCTCTTATATGGACTTTTTGAGACAAAAGGGGCCTTGTAGAGTACGCAGTACGCGATGATTCAGTTCATGACATCATGAGCCACGGAGGCAGTCAGGCAGAGACCAAGTGGAGGCAGCCATCCCCGCCAGTCTAAATATAGGGTGGCCTAAATATAGGGTATCAGATCCTCTGACGTCGATTAACAACATACAAAGTGTGCTAGAAATTTGAAAGAACACCCCGGAGAGCGATATTCAGAGAACCTGTTCAAGTTCAATCCATGCCTTCCAACAACATCTTGTGGCGGGGGTCATGGCATAAATTTCACGCCATACCGGCAGCAATTGGAGGCTCAGGCACACGTGCCGACGGGCGCCTAATACTTTCACCGCCCGCCTAGCTCAATCGGATAGAGCGTCAGACTCTTAACAGGCGGGTCAGATCCGTTCGGATCATCTGAAGGCTGCGAGTTCGACCCTCGCGGTGGGCTAATGTATCATTTTTTGTTTTCTTCTTCTAGACTTGAAGACTTCTGGTAGGCTGTCTGTCGTTCGGATTCCGTTCATGCGTTCCTTCGGTCACATTGGTGTTTCGACAGAGGCCGTGAAGAGGAACTTGACGTTGACAGTTGAACAATACTCTGAGCATCCAACCACGGTACTCCCCGACCTATGTTCTATTCCAAATCACTTTATCGTCTCTGAAAATCTCAACCGGACAAGGTATAACTTTCACTACGAATGTATTTCAGCACATCGCAAACTGACATTAAACTGATCAAAGAGCAGTCCCAATGGCTGGCAAACGCAGAATATTTCAAAAACCCAGACGCCATTCACACTCAACAATACTTTTCTTTTCGACATGAACCGGATGAATTTCGACAAGTGCCACGGACGGAACGAGACCAAGGCTCGGGGAACACGTGATGGACGGGCGCCTAAACCTTCCACCGCCCGCCTAGCTCAATCGGATAGAGCGTCAGACTCTTATGAAGGGCGTGCATAACCCATTGCTTCCGCAATCTGAAGGCTGCGAGTTCGACCCTCGCGGTGGGCTATCGTTTCATCATTTTTTATTTTTTTGTAGGCTTCAGTTTGCTGTTTTGATTCTGATTCCCAAACTGTTCTTTTTTTCTCCGTTTGACTTTCCATCAAGGCGTTCGATTTCAAAATGCTCGAGATATCCCTTGAACCTATATACTCTGCCTACAAAAGCATTCAACTAGTACCTACAACATCATTCCAAACCCATCCAGGACCATCCTTCACCGGGCCTCACCCCCTCCGAACAAACGTAACCGGAACGTCCTTAATCCCCAGCGTCAGCAGCACCTTCGCATCCACCACCCGCGCCCTCCACTCCTCCCTCGTTTCCTTACCCTGCAGCGTCGGCCGCACCCGGTACTCCCGGAGCAGCATCGTCAGGAAGCACACCGCCTCCGTGGTCGCGAATTTGCGCCCGATACACGTGCGGGGACCTATGAAACGATCGTTGGCCCCGTTAGCATGGTCGTATTTTATGTGTATTGGATGACGGGGAAAGAGTTGGGGGTGGACTGACCGATACTGAACGCGGTGAACGCCTCGGATTCATTCGACACGCCGTACCACCTCGACGGGCGATACTCTTCGGGACTGTCGAAATACCTCGGGTTGTATTCTTTCAAACACCATGGTGAGCGCTGCGATTGCGAATGTGTCGAGGGGGGATATACACTCACGAACGCCGATCATATCGACCAAGACCTGGGTTCCTTTCGGTACGGGCACGATCTTGCTCCCCTCTTCGCCATGAGGGTTAGGGATTTCAAGTACCGTATCCTCGAACGCCTCCCGAATCATGATATACCCGGAAGCTGAATCGACATCATCAGCACTGATGGATAGTACATTAACAAGCGTAAGATTATACGTACGGAAGAGCCTCAGAGCTTCGTAAAAGGCTGCAAGCACTTTGTCAAGCTTCCCATAATCCTCATAGGTCTAGGAAATGGTTATCAGGATGTACGGATTGGACGAAAAGATCATAGCAAGCTGACCGGGTCACGGGTATGCCCAACGACGGAGATGATATGCTGATAAAGTTCTTCTTGTATATCGTCGTGGAGGGCAAGGAAACCAAGCGTCGCCGCCAGGGTATGCGCAGTAGTTTCTGAATTTAAATTAACATCTCAGGCGCTCATTTGCAACGGAACGAGAATACTCACCATGTCCTGCAAACAGCATGATAAAGACGTTCCCAATCTAATCAGAAGCGATTTAATGAGTCCACGATATCAGAGGGGATGGTCTGCGGAAATAACGCACCAGCTCTTCATCGTCCAACTTGAACTTCCCTCCTTCATCCTCGTTCGCCTTGACCAGCAGCGAAAACGCATCTTCGCCCAGACTACTCGGCCCGTCCACGCCGCGTCCACTCAGCTCAGCCTTGCGCTCCGCGACCTGCGTCTGCATGAACCCCCTGAGCACTTTCTGTCCTTCGACGCAGTCCTGCATTCTGAGAAAAGACAATCAACACCAGATATCAACCTGAAAGTAGTTAAGAGAAAGGCGGGATGGGATGGTGCATACTTTTTGAACGGTAGATTCTGGATCCATTTGGGGACAAATGTCGAGATCATAAAGGTGTCTGCAACGACGCGTAACGTCTCTTGGATGGACATCCGCCCATCGGCTGCCCTCGGCGGTTCCGACCAGGTGAATGAAAACCCGAATCCACATCGTCCTATGATCAAAAGCGCCAGCTGAATCGAAGGCCATCTCACGGTAAGTATGGACATGGATGCAGTAGCACACCATTAACGCACCTTAAAGGTCACCGATTGTACTGCGGGCAAGCTGATTTCTTTCTTATCCGTCCAGCCTTCTTCCGATATCATCTCGCGGTACGTTGTCAGCGTTTCTCGCCAAACCATCTCAAACCTGCACAACAGTGTAAGTGAGCAAAGATATTCTGAATAGTCCTAGCAAGTGAATTGTACGCACAACTTATTGTTAAACGCAGGACCCATAATTCGACGATGTTTTCGCCACACATCCCCATCGGAAGCGACAAGATTCATTCCCCAGACGCTGGCACATAATTGCAATGTAAATCAAAGCAATCGAAATCAACGAAGAGGGAGGGACGCACAGAAGCGATTGGCTGGCGGATTCCGGCTTGTAAAAACTCCTGCCTCCACTGCTGGAAGCCACCTGCCTGGTAACATCGATATTGGAAGTATAGAACGTCGGCGGTCCCGCAAGGAGAGGTACGAGGGAAATAGTGTCGTTTCCATAGCGCGTATACACTATCCACGATGTATCAGTCTGACGGGGCACCACGAGAAGTTAACGGCACTCCACTCACAAGTACGCCGCCAATTCCACACAAAATAGAAGCCTGGGTTCCACCATGTTGTTGGGAGGAGGACTCCAGGTAGACTGAAAGGGTGGAATAGCACACGGAAGCCTGGAATATGGCTGACCGCCTGCGATCGTGTGTCGGTAAGTAGTGCTTTACAACACAAGAAATAATTGCAGACCTTCAGACCCTGAGGGTATTTCAACACCTTAGACCCAAGGAATATGACAAAGAGCGCAGAAAAGACACTAGAGATGCTGATGTGACCACGCAGGTCATCCACCAGCCCGAGAGCAAGGCCAGTTGAATTCGCAGACATGTTCTCGGCTGCCAGAGAGGGAGAACTTGAAGAAGGCTGGAGTGGGACGGTTGAAACCAGCCTCAAGGACAAGAGGATATTAAGTAGCGATTTTCAAGCACTCTGTCGTGTGAATAGAGGCTCAAGCAGGACAGGATTGTCAACCACTGCCAGCAGTCCAAAAAAGCCCAGCGACATGAGGTTGACATCACAAGTGTGTGCGCAATACGGCCATCTCGGAGCTTAATTGACATTCCAGTCGGGTAAACCAGTACGCGGTAACTGCCGTGCTAGCCGTGCACCGGGCCGACGTAGGCCGACGTTCGTAATATCGATGACAGGCATTTCTGGGCAAGTTTCTGCAGTTTCTGGGCATCTTATACATACGCATGGAATTTGTGTAGAATTTGTGTAGAATATCTGCTATTTCTTCCAGATGGGTTCAGAAAATGACCAAATTACTGCAAAATCCAGCAATGAAGCACCGTATTCTCATTCGTCATATCATCTCCAAGGCTCGTTGAACATCATCAGCTATGGATGTATCCCAAGTCCATCGCCACTCCTTCTCAATCGCTTGCCACACAGGCAGCAGTCTTTCCAACGAGACCGCGTCCCCCTCCTTCACATCCTCAAACCCAGGAACTTCGAGATCATACCGAAGCCCTTGGCTCCTAGAAGCGTCCGCCACAAAATTGCCAAAGGGCGTCCGGATCGTATTGTAGACCTCTGCAATTTTCGAAACGTCGACAGCCTCATCCTTCCGAAGGGCCTTGTTCAGGACCTGGCCGAGGATGTAGGCATCCTGATCATGTAGGATGAATATGTATTGCAAAATATAGCAGAATTCACGGTTTGCAGCTGCTTACCTCGATCGCCTGCCCCGCGCCATTCCCAAGGTGAGGACCCATTGCATGTGCCTGTGCATTGAATAAAATAGAAGCCCGTAGATAGATTTATGCGGAACTCACCGAGTCTCCCAGAAGAAAAACGGAGCCTTCAGCATATCTATCCAAGGGTCTGACAACCTCAACCGCCCACCTGGACGGATTGTGAACGTTCTATAGCCACCCAAACAAAAAATGCGGAACCCCATTAGTTGGATGAACAAAACCTACGACGAGCGTCAAACGCGCTATTCACCCTGGTGATGCATTGGACCTCTTTGGACCACTTCTCGTAGAGGGACGAGACGGCGTCCGTGGTCGATTCCGTCACGGCGGGCCCCTCCACGAACGTGCCCTCTTTATCGAACTCGGAGACATAAGCTGCGACGTTGACGAGCTTCCCGCGGGAGATGGGATACGAGACGACGTGCTATGTGGCTCTCACATCAAACCGTCGCTCTTGAATATCAAGGGATTGGACCTTACCTTGGACTTTCCCATATACTGCGAATGTAATCAGTCCATCTCCGCTGTGTAACGGAATAATATCGAAAGGCACGAACCACAACGGGATCCGTCAAGCAAGGATGGTGCGGCATTTCCTTCCGGATCAGCTCACTGTCAATCATACTTCTGTAAATAATGGATCCACTCCAGACAGGCCGGGCCTTCGTCTCCGCCTCCCCCTCGCTCAGATCATAGAGCCTCGCCAGAAAACCCTTGCGAACAACAGAATGCACACCGTCTGCACCCACGAGTATATCGCACATCGCCGTCTCTCCATTTCTGAAATGCAGTTCTATTTCTTCGCCGGACTGTCGATACGATACCAAGCGCCTGTTGAGGTGAACTTGGGTGTTCGGGGAGATATTCTTCAAGAGGACAGTTTGGACGTCGGCTCTGTGGAAGCCGATGGAGCCCAGCATGATATCAGGGAGTCGAACGTCCTCCTGCTGGTCGCTCTTTTTCATAAGAAACGGCCGCTCTGCAGCGTATAGGTACACAAAGCATCAGAAATGTACACGACAGATTGAATTGGAAGCCACGCACTTGGTATCCCTTCCGAAGGTGGTTCTTGCCCAGGATTCATATACGCGACGAGATCATCCTCCAATCCCAGATCCTTAATTATCTCCCATCCTCGCGGCCAAATTGTGATCCCCGCGCCCACTTGCGTCAGCTTCGCTGCAGCCTCGTAGATATCAACCTGGATAAGCGCATCGAGGTCCAAGCGGGTAATAGCCACGGCTAATGTCAAGCCGCCAATACCACCTCCACTATCGCACAGATGATATACCAGCCGATTTAGATTGAGGGGCAAAAAAAAAATCAAGGACTTACACGATTGCCAGCCTCAGTTTCGGAGCGCTTGTCATTTCTCTCTGAGAGGAAGAGGGTGTCTTCAAGGGTTTTTTCCCTATCAGCCAGCCAAAATGGCCCCCCTGTACGCTTTAGTACCGTCCCCATCATTGATGCTAGTATCATGTCGACATCATGTGCTATATTTGGCTCCGCTCGGATAGTTGCAT